TTAAGCCGAATTGTGAGTAGCCTATCGTCAATTTTATTTAGCGAATCCTCATTCGATTTCTTTTTTAATCAAACTAATTTATAGCTCATCGATACACCAACATATGAATAGTCCATTTAATATTTGTACAGATAGTTTGTAACAAAATTTGAGCCGTTAATGTATGTTTTTTCGCCTTTTTTCCCCGAAAATATTTTGATAGCTCTAACGTTAGCCTTTAACCTTGGACTTTTTGTTGACAAGCCATTGTAAAAATTTGATTTAAATTATTTGACATTAAAGTAGACCAATTAAATATATTAAGTGTGTTAATATCAAAGAATGTCATCATTAATTATTTAATCAGATTTACCATTTGACCTTTTTTTAATTACCAGACCTTTTCTCCTAAAACTACAAATTGAATTAATTAATGCCGGAGTAATTATTTTACTTTATATAATTTATGTAGACTACTTAAATTAGTTCTTATAAACGTAAGTATTCAAATATATCAATATTAATTTAACTGTGATATGAAGTTGTTGCCAGCCATTTACAACTCATACAATTGCCTAGTAATCAAATTTACTATGCCTTCACTATGTATTAATCAGTCTATGTTTTTTTTTTAATGCAATTGAAGACGAAAAGTAAAGTCACTAACACAATTCTTCCTTTTTTCTTTGCTTTGTCCTGTTTACAGCAAGATGATGTTTAGGTGATCCTTAAATAAAGTACAGACATCATTATCCTCAGCCGCCCCATGCAATACCCGGGCAGTAGTTTTGAGCAAATCGTCATAGGACTGGAACTGACCACAATCAGGCAACGCTGGATTTATGGCTGGTACAGTAAGCCCGCAAAAAGTAGCTCGTTTCACCTCCTCATCCTCCCTCTGTAGATGGAGAAGTGGACTCTGTCTCTGAGGCCACTGATCTGGTTGCAGAAGGAGAAAAGGCGGACCCTGGTTCCACCGGCTTGGATTGGACAACTCAGCCAAAGTTTTGCCACGTGTGATGTCGTCGGCTGGATTTGTTTTGGAATCTACATAATGCCAAGCCCCTGGGTCGGTCAATTCCTGTATCTCTGCGACTCTCGTTCCAACAAAAACCTTAAATCTACATGAGTCAGCTTGGATCCAGGTTAGCACAGTAGTTGAATCAGACCAGAGTGTGACATGCTGGATTGGAATGCTAAGCTCTGACCTCAGAAGTCTAGACAGCTGAGCTCCAGTTAAGGCAGCACACAGCTCCAAACGAGGGATCGACTGCCGCTTTTTTGGGGAAACTCTTGAACGGGCAGTCAGGAAAGCTACTTCTATGTCTCCCTGGGCACTCTGTGTCCGTAGATAGGCTACGGAGCCGTAGGCTTGCTCTGAGGCATCGCAAAAGATATGTATCTCTCTTAGACATTGGGCGTTGTCTAACTCTGCAGTAACATAACACCTGGGGAGAGAGATGAGTTGGAGGTCTGGCAACTCCAATTCCCATGCCTGCCAGGCGTGGAGTAACTCACTTGGTAGTTGGGGATCATCCCATTCCCTCTTCTTGTCCCACAGTCGCTGTACTAATATTTTAGCTCTGGTAGTGTAAGGGACAATGTAACCCAATGGGTCATATTGCCTAGCCAAGACCTTATAAATGTTGCGCATTGTGGGGACTGAGTATTTTTTTTTATTTTTTTTTTTATTTTTTGACATGGACATACAATTACATTGGACGAACCATATGCATTTGTTTAAGTGTTTTAGCACAAATGCTAATTTACAACACCTGTCCACGGGAGGCTTTTGGAAATAAAATACAATAACAAGACTAGTATGCAAAATAATACTAAAACTACTAACAGAGAAGGATAGCTGACAATATACCATATAATTACAGACAAAAGAAAAAAGAAATTGCATACATAAATTATAAAGCAGAAGCATCAGAGTCAGAGATTTGTTATTCGTGCGAGCACTGCTGTTTAGTTTTTAGCCATTGTTTAAGTCCTCTGTTAAAAGCTTTGCCATCGGTCTCTAGTTTTAATTCAGTAGGCAAAGCATTCCAGAGTTTTGGCCCCTTTACTGAGAAGGCAGACTGACCAAAGGAGGTCTTACACTTTGGGACTAAACAGTCACCTCTGATAGTGGCTCGTGTGTTCGCCCCCTGAGAACTTTGGCGTCTACTGATTAATCTAGAAAACTGCGGTGAAACATGATTATTTAGACATTTGAAAACCAATTTAGTATAATTAAAATCAATAAAACTGTAAAAGCCAAGAAGCTTATGCTTTCTCAGAACATCACAATGATGCCATCTCATGGGTTTCCGGTCCATGATTTTTATTGCCTGTTTGTAGAGTGAGAAAATCGGTATTCATTTATTTGGTGAGATTTGTGACCATGATGTGACGCAATATGATAGGTGTGAAAATATCATTGCATGCATATATAGTTTTGCAGTGTGACAGGATAAATCCCTTCTTATAAACCGAAAACAATTTATATTTGGTCTGACCTTCTTGCAGATGTACTTAACATGGTTATCAAATTTTAAATTTTTATCCAGAATAATCCCAAGGTACTTGACTTCATTGACTGCTTCTATTGCTTCATTTTTAATTTGTACCTCAAACATATCGCTAACCGGCCTATTTCGTATAGAGAAACACATGGAGACTGTTTTCTTAACATTTAGCGATAGATGAGATAACTCGAGCCAGTTAGAGATATTCTATAATGCTGTTGTCAGGTGTTCACCTGCCAGACTGGGTGTTTTAGTGGAAACATGGACCACAGTATCGTTTGCATACATCTGACAGTTTACGCCTGGACAGCATTTTGGTAGGTCATTTATATACATTGTGAACAGCAAAGGGGCAAGTACAGACCCTTGCGGTACTCCCATGTTGTTGGCTTGCAGAGGTGACTTCACCCCATTGACTCTGACACATTGCTGTCTCCCGCCCAAATAAGACCTAAACCACTGCAAAGCTTCTAAAGACATTTTAAATTGATTTAACTTATGTAGCAAGATACTATGATTTACCGTGTCAAAGGCCTTCTTTAGGTCCAAGAACACCGCCCCAACAACATTTCCTTTATCCAGTGATTCTTTAATTTTATTGATCAAATAACAGTTAGCTGTTTCGGTGGAATATTTGTCTCTGAATCCAAACTGTAATGGATAAAGCAACTGATTAGACTCTAAATGTTCCGCTAATTGCTCAGCGACAATCTTTTCCAGAACTTTTGAGACTACAGGGAGGATAGCAATAGGCCTGTAGTTGCTTGATATTTCCTTATCCCCCGATTTGTAGACCGGTGCGATTATTGCTGTTTTCCAGCTCTCTGGGAACATATTTGTTTGTATTGATAAATTGACTAAGTAAGTAACTGGCTCTAACAGACAGCTTTCATATCTTTTAATTAATGCAGCATGTATGTTGTATATGTCCTTAGACATAGAGTTACTCATGTTTACAATCACCTTTTTAACTTTATCACAGGATACCTCTTTGATACAGAAGGAGCCTGTATGAGCATTGTCAGGCTCTTCAAGAGATGGTTCGATATATTTAAAATTACTTGCTAATTCTTTAACAGAGTTGATAAAAAAAGTATTAAAAACATTTGCAATAGCCGCATTACTGTGAATCAGATTATGACAAACTTTAAGACCATTTATTTTTGAGTGTTTATATCTACTTGAATTAGTTAGTCTATTTATATGTTGCCACATTTTAGAACTATTGCCACTGGCTTCTTCAATTAGTTTAGAGAAATACTTAGTCTTTGACTTTCGCAGCTCTGATACTACCTTGTTCCTCAAGCCCGTATAAATAAGGTGGTCAGTATTAGTTTTTGTTATTAAGGACTTTTTAAGAGCAATATCTCGCTTTTTAATGATCTGACGGATGTCACTATTAAACCATGGAAGAGAATGTTTCTTAGGTGTACTTTTCCAGGTTTTTGTATGTTTACTTATTAGATCACTTAACACAGAGTTAAAATTGTTTGCGCTATAGTTTAAGTCTGTTTCTCTAATTACCTTTTCCAGTTAACTTCCTTTAAATCATATTCAAAATTGGCTTCTTTAGATTTGGGAATCCCTGTTGTTATAATTGAATTTTTTGTATTATTATTGTGAAGTAGGCGTTTTTTAGTTAACTTTCTCACAATCAGTGTCATATTATGATCTGAAAGGCCAGTAATGAGATTATATGTTTTTGTTACTCTCTCTGGCCTGTTAGTAAAAATCAGATCTATAAGGGTTTCACTTTTTCTAGTGAGTCGAGTAGGTCTATCAATCAGCTGTTTGAATTTAAATTTCTCCATAGTTGACTTTAATTGTAATTTACCACTTTTAACCATCCAGTTAATATTAAAGTCCCCAAATATCATACATTCACAGCCATTGTCAGCAAGAGAAAGAAGGTTCTTCAGTTCATTGTAGAAATTCACATCGTGACATGGAGGATTATAAAGCACGACTATGTTAAATTTCATGTTTGGAGAAAGAATTATATTCAATCCCAAACACTCCATGTTTACATTCAATTCAAGTTCTGAACTTTTAAAATGCTCCCTAATATAGATTAAAACACCCCCTCCCCTTCCTTTGGCCCTATCTCTCCTATAGCAAGTGTATTCTGGTAGGTTAATTAAGTCAGTAGGAACATTATGATTCAACCAAGTCTCCGATATGCACAGAAAATCTAAATTAGAGTCAATAAGTAAATTGTGAATCTGGCCTATTTTTGGCAATATGCTTCTGATATTTATATGTCCTCCCAATATTCCTTTGGGTTTTGTTTCAGAGTTCCAGATGATTCTAGCATGATTAACAGTTTGAAAGAGTCTTGACTTCCACTGTTTCAACATTGCGCGATTTATTGCAGGTGTTTTGTCCCTCGCGGGACTCTGTCTTTGTTGACCTTCATCCACCATCACTGACGGGCCATCATCATATTGACAATTTGTAGCTTGTATACTACATTGATCAGTATGAGGCGCATAACTCACCCCAGTGTCCATGATAGTGGTCCCAGACCGATCAAACTCCACTGCCGCTGTCGCCACTCCCGCCCGACACTCTGGGCCCGGAGCTTGCAACCCCAACCACCGCTCCAGTCCATCATGCTCTCCCAGAGCGCCTGTTCGTTTACTGCCACCCGGCTCCGCGTCTCCACCAGAAACGGCCGGACCGGTCCATCCACCCGACCACGCCTCCCCTCGGGAACCACGCCGACGAAAACCCCCCTCTCCGACAGGCCGACACCCGGGGACAGTGCACACAGCTCCACTGGAAGAAACGCCACCCAGCACCGGAGCCAAGGCGAGTAACGAAGATGTTTTAGATGTTATAACCGGCTGGAGTATCACTGCAGGTGACGCTGACTGCATCTGCATCTGAATGTTTTTATGCGCTGTTGAGTTGGGCTCTGAATGGAAAAGTGGTCCAGGATTCAGATGAACATCTCCCGATGGTAGGAGCAGTAGCAACAGTACTTTGGCTGAAGATAAGCTATTCGTGCGCCGCATTGTAATTGTGAGCGCTGGCTTAAAGACCTGCGCTCTGCCATCATTCAGAATCCGTGTAAAGGCTGCGGCGTAACCAAATCCAAAAAGGTATAGTTGTGATTTTTCTGATAAAATGCCCAGTGGATCAATGATAAAGGGATGAGTCTTCGGTGGATTACCCGTGAGTAAAACAGGCATCAATACCAAGACGCCACAGGTGATGAAATACATGCCGGCATTACGTTGCGCATGTTTGCTTTTACTCCCACAGCCCCGCTTCATAATTCCATGATGCAAATTGTTTAAAGGCCAGAGAATTACCTTAAAAAGTAATCTGAGAAAACTTAAGATGGCAATTTTAAAATGTTTAAAATGTTTGTAAAATCCTAGCACATGAGTGGAGCCTTCCAAACCACCCAGGGCAGGATCCGCCATCACCTGCCATCACCTGAGTAGTCAATGGGACGGTACTTGTACAACAGTGTGTCCGATATGCAGTGCCAGTGTAGTCCAAGTGTGGATTCTTGAGCATCTGGTTGACCTTGTGTCAGCCACAATTCAATACTGGTGGACCTTGCATGAGATGGCACATGGCTCAGGACATTAGGGAAGTTACTAGCCCATTGTCTTAAATCAAACCCACCTGTAGCTAAGAGGTTTCGCAACTTTATCACCAGTGACTCTGCTTCTTCCTCAGAACTGAAACTTTGGAGGAAGTTGTCCACATAGAAGGATTTCTCAATGCTTTCACGGACATCTTCTCCTGTTTGACTATGATCCATGATGTGTTTCTGTAATGCAAATATTGCACAACATGGACTGCATGTCGTCCCAAAGGGAAGGACTTGCCACTCATAGACTTGGGGAAGCTCTTCTCTCTTGAGATCTCTCCACAGGAAGCGTAACAGAGGGCGATCCTCTGGCAGTAGACGCACCTGATGAAACATTCCCCTGATGTCACTGCTTAAAGCCACGGTGTGCTCACGGAACCTCAGCAGAACAGACATCAGGGTAGGGCCTAATGTAGGACCTGGAAGTAGGAGTTGGTTCAGGTTCTTCCCTCTGTGCTGAAAGGAACAGTTGAAAACGACTCTGTTCTTTCCATTGTGCTGAGTCATATGGTGGGGGATATACCATGATTCAGTTGTCTGTTCTACATGTTCTGGAGATATCACTGAAGCATATCCTTCCTCCTCCAACCTCTTTATCTCTGCCCTGTAAGAGTCTGCTTGAGTTGGATCTTTGGCTAACCTCCTTTCTATTCCTCTGAGACAAGGCAGGGTACTATCCTTTGGGGCTTGCAGTATGGGCATGTTCTTCACTCGGAGCAACGGAGTGGCATATCGAGCAAGTCCATCTACCAGAACTCTAGTCGTTTTTGACTCAAGTAAAGCGATGGCCTCTTGATCCTGCTTGGATCGAGTGATGAGTTTCTCACTGCGATACGGAAGCACATCTAATTGCCATAATCTCTCCACTTGATTATACAGGTCGGTAGGGGGAAAGGAAGTAGAAGTGAAGAGACACTGTTGTTCTGAGAGACAATGCTTAATTTCTTGAGTGGGACCCTGCAGTGTCCAACCCAGGCGAGTCCTGATGGCAGCAGGTCCATTTGGAGGGCCTAGCCGAACTGGTTCAACTGGTGTAATGAGGTGTGGATAGTCAGAACCTATGAGGAGGAGTGGCTGTACTGAATCAATCTGTTGCAGCGGTAATCCCTGTAGATGCCGATACTTGCTCTGTAACTCACTGACTGGATGTGTATGTTCGGCCAGTCCAAGTGGTTCAGCGGTAAAGGCCTTGTGAATCTTGAAGGAAATCTCAGGTTGGAAGACAGGTGACACAGTAAAAGCCACAGCAGCCCCTTGTAGATTGTGGCGGTCTTGACGTACTGTACGTAAAACTAGTTCTTCAGGCTGACCCATCAACTTAAGCTGTTGAACTGCAGAGTGAAGGAGTATTGTACGTTCAGACCCATCATCTAGTATGGCGTAAGTTTCCAAGCAATGATCGCCATTTCTCAAGAGCACCTTACAAAGCTTTAACAAAACTTGGCGGCTGCCATTGGGTCGATCTAGGTACAAGGTCTCTGTGGTAGTGTTCACTAGGCAGCTCTCAGAGGGTCCAGGATCAGGGGAATCATTTGTCTTTGCGGTGGGTCGAATATTAACCTCATGGAGGACCAACAAGTGTCTGCTGTTACAGATCTTGCAAAGTGTTCTGAGATTACATTTTGCCGCTTGGTGCCCTCGCCCACAACGCCAACAGCGATTGTTTGTTTGAATCCATTTCACTTTCTTATCTCTGTTCAACTGACTGAAACCAGTACAGCCATTCAAGTAGTGATCATGTCCATCACAATATGGACAGAAGATATTTCTCTCTCTGGACTTCGACTCAGTATCCTTCACTGGCATGGCTCTTAAGACAGTGCATTTCTCAGTACCAAGGAATATACTTGTTGGGTTGGTTGGACGTTTCGAATCCTTAATTTGTCCCTTTCTGCTCATGGCTACTGGCTTACTCGTGGAAAGAGAGAACCTGGAATGATCTTCTTGAACCTGCAGCTCGAACTCTAGCCAGGCTGAGAAATCCAGTAATGTAGGGATAGATACTCGGTGGGGATAGATAAACCTTCTGAAGCTTGTCTGCAGGTCATGTGGTAGCTTACACAATAACCTTGACACGTGGGATCCGCACTTCAATTCAACATAACCCTTCTTGCCCAGCTGCTGAAGCATACTAACTAATGAGCGAACTCTTAATGCAAACATCCTGAAAGCTTTCACATCTCCACTGATGATGTTAGGGGCATCCATAAGTTCTGCTATTCTCTGAAGGGCCAGCTGGTGGGGTTGTCCATACTGCTGATTGAGTGCTTCCATAGTATCTGAAAAGGGATACAAGGAGTTGCTGTAAGAATCTGCTATAAGCAGAGCTTCTTCCAATTTTAGGTGGTCGACAAGTATCTGAAACTTGAATCTCTCGGTGGCATCAGCTGGTAAGATATTCTCCAACGCGATTCGTAACCGAGAAAACTCTCTTGGGTCTGGCTTTACAAAGTTTGGAATGGTGGGAGCTGGTCCACGGTAAGTGCTCTCTTGGCTGGAAGGGATACGTTGCTCTGTGAGACGATTGACACCTCTGCTATCATCTGTTCTACTATGGTGTGAGGGTCTCTGAGGGGAAGACCTTCGAGGTGAGATAGACCTGGAATAGGTCTGCTGTGAAGTCATCTCAAGCCTTTTAAGCCTCTGATCTAAGTCGGAAAGGAAGTCATGTCTGACCTGATCATCTGCACCATCATTCACTTTTTTAGGCAGCTTTGATCGGGGTAAGGGTACAGGCTTAGCTTCTTTGGCACTTTGTGGAGGATGAAGACGAGGTTGTGGGATTGGTGAGGACATACCTGATAAATGATGACTGGGCTGGTTGCTTCCCACTAGCTGTTTCATCTGTGATTCTAAAGCCTCATTCCTTTTTTCTAACCGTCTCATCTGTGCATTTGTATAATGCCGCAGTTCCTCATTCTCTTTTTTAAGCTGCTGAAACTCTGCTAAAACTACTGATGACAACTCAGGATGTGGAGAGGAGATGTTATGCTGCTGTTCATCTTCCCTGATAGAGCTCCATTCTATTGGCTGCCAAGGCTGAGGACTCGGTCTGTGTTCATGGCAGGTGGCAGCTATGTTGAGTGAGGCTGCTCCTGGTGGCTCATAATCTTCACTCAGTTCAGGAGAAGAAGTGTCTGCTCTGTTCCATGCCTGTAGCCTTGGGTGATATCTGGTGACCTCAAAGTCTGATAGATAACTAGGTAAACGCACTGATCTCCGGGGTCTGACAGTGGGCTCAGGAGATCCAGGTCTGGGCTCAGGAGATCCAGGTCTGGTTTCAGGATCACTCTGATGCATCTTACTTGAGACAGCTCCTACTCCGGCTCGAAGGACCACTTATAATGAAGACTATCTAATATTCTGGTGGAAAATGAGCAGTCACAAGACGTCCGGTCAGAGACGTATATCTCTTTAATGGGTGGTAATTTGCAGCCACAGTTAAACAGTAGTGGTTCTAAATGAAATAGAAATAACAATATTCAAATTATAACATATTCAAGATAACATTGTTCATATGGTTATATGCACAGAAGAACATAAGTAAGCATCGTAGTACTAAGTTATCCATACACTGTAACATCTAGAGTCATCAAATTTGGCTAATAATACCCACTAAATACTACTATTAGTGATATTATGTATGCAATGACTCAATATCTCACAGGTATACAAATATAAATCACGTAACATAAGGACCGAGTCAAATAACACAGATAAATGGTGTCACGTTCTCTGACACGTGATCTCAATAGAAGCAATCGTACAGAGATGATATAATCATCATATATCCTTATTCTATCATAAATAATCCTATATACATACTCAACTTTACTTAGATCTTGAGATTATATGCTCACAGATAGATATTTAACTCTCTTTGACATGTATTTACCTCAGATAATCTCCGCGATGCAATAAACAAATGTATGCGTCATAACATCAAAAGATATCAAATTACCGGTTCAACATCAAAATAGTAATACTTGAAATACAACTCGTAAGAGGTAAACAATAACTGAACAAAGATTACTCACTGGTATATGAACGCACTCTGTCAAACCGATCAAAACAAGCAGCATAACTCCATCAAACTTTCTCATTGTATGCGCTATAGACCACGCCCCAATGACTAAACTGTTCCGTTAATGCACGTCTTCAATCTCTTAACTTAATATTCATTTAGCCACAAGGGGGCATTAGTGTCTCTTTTATACATCTAGTACAGATTGGAGATCCTTTTCAACAGAATTGTTTATTATTGGTGTTTTGTCTATTCTTA